AAACAAAAACATTCTTCAAAAACGGCCTTGAAAGAGTTTAAGAAAAAAAGTAAGTCTAATGGAATGGCTATGTTAATTACCAAACATAAATCCAATCAAATATTTGGAGCATGAATTGAAAATTGTTGTTAATAAGCAGAAGCTATGGAATCTGAATGATTCTGCAGAAAAGAATGGCTAAAGTAGAAATTATTAGATACAGAAGACATACTGAAGTCTAAAGAAAACATTTACAAGAATTTATCTATGCTAAAGAAGCCTTAATTATCAAGAATCAGTGAAAGAGATTGAATACTTATGCAAAACCCATTATCATAAAGCATTGATAATTTTAGAAATTAATTAATGAGATATTCTCTCTTATTAATTAACATACAAAATATTTGATGCTACTTGAATAAATAAATGTCATCAAATATAATTTGGAATCGCTAATCAGAAAAAAGAAAAAAAATAACCATAGGGTGGTACACATTTACATACAACTTAAATGTAATTAATCATTATTATTAATATAGTGATTTACTAAGAATAGCTTAGATGTGGCACAAGGCAGAAAGTATGAAGCATCCACCAATAATCAAGCTAAATACTCAGTAATAACTGATCTAGCAAGACAAGCTTACTAACCATTATCCCACTTTGAAATGCCAAAATACAGTGATTTATTAAGCAAAGATTAAATGTGGCACAAGGCCAAATGCATGGAGCTCTCAGTGAGAATTGAACTCACTGCTTAGTCATAACTGATCTAGCAAGACAAGCTTGCTAACCATTACACCATAATGAAATGCCCAAATATAGTGATTTACTAAACAAAGATTAGATGTGGCACAAGGCCAAAAGTATAGAGCACCCAGTGAAGATCGAAATCACTATTCAGTTGAAATTGATCTAGAGAAACAAACATGCTAACATTACATCAGGCTGAAGTGCCCAAATATTGTTTATTTACACTATTTATTTATTATATTGTTTATTTAAATTATTCACATTGTTTGGACTGTTGTCTGCATCTTTATCGCCATATTCACGTTTCAGCTGTTGCATGCTCCAGCCTTCTTCAGATGATTGGAATTTCGAATTGAACGCAATATTTCTGCCACCGAGGTAGGTTGTTCTAGTTCGCCATGCCATGCCTCTTCCGGATGTCTCCGTTATCTCCCTTTAAATCAACTCTCCAAGTTTTTGTTCACCACTGCCATAGCCAAGTATTGAACTCACAACTATTTGGATCAACTCACAGGACCCAACCAATGCTTTCATCCACTGGGCTATGTGTCTGGAACGTACAACAGCTGAAATGTCATGAATATGGCAATAAAGATGAGGACAATAGTCCGAACAATGTAAATAGTGTAAATAGTTACAATACCTCATCTCAGAAATATAGACTGTGAATATGGCAATAAAGATGAGGACAACAGTCCAAACAATGTAAATAGTTACAAGAACTCATCTCAGAAATATAGACAGATATTATATTGTTTATTGGAATGGTTGGCAAAACATCAGCTAATTGCCAATTGATTCAAACTTTATAAAATGGTAAATAAGGATTTGCTTATATTTGGTTCACATATTTTAATAATTTAGTAAATGTTTATAAATTTATGAATAAAAAATTGTTTTCATATTTATTTCTGTATAAATTGATAAATGATACATATTGTTCTAATTGTATTCATTTTTAGAATGTTGTAAAAATAAAATGATTCTTGTAAATAAACAATCTAATAAATAGTGTTTATTATTTTTTGTTGTAAATTCTCAAGAACAAATAAAATGTATAAATTCTCTTTCATATGTTTAGTTTTTATTACAATTCTAGTCATCGCTTTTAAAAACAATGAACGTAGCCAAGGAGTGAAGGTAGTTAAAATAATAGTGGTGTCAAAGGAAAAACTGTCCTTTTGACACTCCATGTTTTTGTTGTTTTAATCAATTATTCTGTTGGATTTATTCCACATTTTCAACTCGTATTCGCAATTATAATTTGATGGGAAGTTAATGTGATGAAAACACTAGAAGATAATAAAGTCTTGTGGGACATTATTAAAACTAAAGACGGAAATTTCAATCTATTCAATTCAGATGTGCTGACAGAATACTCCTTTAAAAGGGAGAAGGAAATGTGATTTTACAAGCAATCTTGTTGGGAATGGTACATAATTTCCTAATTTAAAATGTCAGGGTAAGTAATGCACACCAATCTCTCCCTTAAAACTTCTACAGCAGGCTCGAGATATTTCACTTGTCCCTTGCAACCAGTGTGGGAGGGCCTGTAAAAATCATTGATAACCTTCTAAAGATTTTACCATAATCTCATTCAATGGACATGCAGGTAACATATTTGTGACGAAAGACATGACTAACCTCAGAATTCGAAACGAGCGCGAACGTGTCTTGCCTGCAAAGTGATGACAAAAAGAAATATGGCCACTATTGAAGACACAGTTTATGCGCACTTATCTCATCCAAAACAAGACGATATTTGCACACATGCAAATTTTGGCCGTCTTGGAATAGCATAAAAAGCAGGGTGCCAGAAGCACGACAGAACCGAAGTAATTCGGTGGACAGTATGCAATGGAGATGGATGTACAGATTGACAGACAGACAAAAAGGAAATCAAAGTAGGCACGGCTGAGCTGGTGTCTGTTTAACAACTGACCAGTGTAACAGCTGAGAAAGGGAGCCACGTTCCTTGAGACAGCCGAAGAAGAAAAAAATAGCTGGCCTGTCAGCGAGCACCACACCGCACATTTTGAACTCTAGGCAAAAGAAAACTTGGAATTCAAAACTCTATGTGGCTCTGGTGGGGCACATACTTGAACTGTAACTAAAGTCAGCATAGATGCAGTATAAGCCACAGGTTGGCTCTGTGGGTGTTTTAGAAATACAAATTGGTCCAAGCAACTGGACATGTTCGGAAACACGCAGCCAAGCAAATGAGAAATCACACTAATTTGCAGTATGCCTTCTTTCTCAGATCAATGAATAAAAATGGCTTTGAGTGAAGAAAACCTGTAGGTTTTAACAATGACCATCCTTCATTAAACCACGGAGACTGGCATTACAAAATTACAAAGAACTGTACCAAATAACAAACCACATCACTTGAAGACTTAACAACAGTGACAAATAAAATGGATAGCATATGTAAGTCAAGGATAAAAAAATTAAATGACGTGATCAAGATGTGGATGTTCCACATTACTTCAAACAAAAGGTTAGGAAGGAAACTCCATCAATACTAGAAAGAGCTATAACAGCTAAAAGACTTGAGAAAACTATTTACCTGAAAAATTGTTTCAAGAGAAAGATTTTATAAACTTCAAGTGGAATGGAAGTAGTACTGTCTGCTTGGTCAATAAGAGATGAGGATAACAGATACTACACTTATTAGTAATTACTTGTATCCCCACAGTGTTGGGGTATGACACAAGGCCAGTTTAATATGGGTAGCTGAAGTAGGTTCATATGAGCCAAATCCAAAAATTACCCAATCCCAGCAACAAAAGTCATGCTGGCATCAATACTCCCCCAACCTGACCTCTTTGCAATGAAGATGCTGCCGCAGGGTCAGATCAGGCATCCTTTAATAATTTTCTTTTTGTGCATGTGTCCGAAGACAAAATTACACCTGAGAGACAAAATGTAGTTTGTCCACATAAAGGCAGATACTATACTTAATATTTACTTACCGCCTCATGGTGGCAGGATGTGGCATAAGGTCTGTTTAATATGGCGTGTGCACCTGGGCCAGGATCAGAAATAGCCCAGCCCCAGCAACTGTCAATTGCACTGACATCAGTATTACTACCAATCCCCCATCACTTTAGTGCAACAAGAGAGGTACTGCTGTGGGTAACTGTTCCCTGAGATTGGACACATCTCAATAATATTTTCAGTTGCGCACTGCCTGAAGACAAAAACAAAACTGAGTTGTGCTCTGACTAAAGACAGAAACACAATTGAGAGATAAAATGTAGGTTATCCACCCAAGGACAGATACTACACTTTGATCCTAACCAGACAGGCGGGGAGCAAAGACAAGTGTAACATGAGTAGCACTGGTTGCTTGATTAATGAATACCAAATGTTTCCTTATGAGGAAACATTACCTTTAATATTACCATTAAGGTTGAAAGAAGTCTGCTGTTTTAATAAACCAGATGAAATAATAGATAAATTGTAAAATATGGCAAGGGTGTGCTGAGGTTGGGGGAAACACCTAACCAATTACTCTCCCAAGAACTATGGAGTTGCAGGTGAAGAAGAGAAAAGGGACAGGTGGAAACAAAACAACACTGACTCAGAAACCACAGCATGGCGAGCAGCATGTAACTTGACGAAGAAACTGTCCATGGGAACGACTTCACAAGATACCAAGTTTTGCCCACTCATGGTTTCCCCATTGCTTTGATTGACAGAAGACAATTGAGAGAAACACAGATCAAGTTGCAGAGAGGCCTGTATCTGGACATGCAAGGCTGTTCTGCTGCTAATGAGGAAAATGCAGATGTAACTGGTTTTGACAGACATGTCCACAGGGCCTCTTTTGCATCTGTACAGATGGGCATTCACTACACATCCACCCAAAACTTTGAGAAAGGCATGACACAATCTTTTCTAAGAATGCATAACAATTCACTGACAGAAAAAGGGAAACTGTGGAAAGATAGTATAGCCTGAAGTGACATAGCAAGAGTTACTTTGAAAGATTTGACAATCCCTCATCTTAGGAATTGAAAAAGGTTGGAAAATACAGGAGTCAAAATACTGGGAAAAGCCGACAAAGATGAGAGAACAAGCGCAATGATGATTACACTTTGATCCTAACCAGATGGCCAGGGAGCAAAGAAAAGCATCACTTGTGCAGCACTGGCTTTTCAGTCGATGAATGACTAATGTTTATTTACAAAGAAACATTACCATTAATATTATCATTAAATAACTTTTGCCAGAATTTCTAAGAAAGATTAAAACGTACTTACCCATTTGACCAAAGTTCGGAAGACAAGGAGTTCATCTGTAGTATTGAGTCGTCTGTCACTAAGGAAAGCTTTCAATTCATCAAAGGTCAAGTCAAGAAGATCTTCATTGTCCGCAACTTGGTTGAAATACCACAAGGCATATGCCTTGCAATAGTCATACAAGTCCGTCATGAAGAGTGTCGATGCAAGCATCAGCACTGCAAAGCAGTTCTGATTTGCATGATCCCAGAGAAAATCCTTGCAGCGTGTGTAAACATCTGTAAAGGCCAGCATATCCGCTGTGCGTGTCACGTCAAAGATATTTTCGCGGTCAATGAGAAGTGGTTTCTTATAACAGAAATCCAGAATAATCTTAAAACTGTTTGCAGGCACACATTTCAGATCGATTGTGTCGAGGTTCCTCTCCTTCATCGGACGCTCAAACATTGCCTTAAAATACTCGCTGCTTGTGGAGAGGATTTCCTTATGACATTCAAGGGTTTCATCCTCAATAACAAGGGAGACATCCGGGTAGCCAAGCTCCTCGAAGTATTCAGTGGAGACATGAAATGGCTGCTCACAGTTCGATATCTGTTCAATGTCATTTTGAGAATCGTAAGGATTATTAGAAGATCTGTTCATGTCACAGCATTGATCAGCGTTTTTATCCAGGAACTGGGGGGGAGTACTGGAAAAAAAAATTATATTGCAATGAACTTTAATATACACTTTTTGCCTTTAATGTAAAGATTAGAGTGTATTTGATGCATTCATTTAGTAAGTACTATGTAATATCACAGCATGCTTAAACACCTAGAAGTAAAATTACAGTGTATTTCTACAGTAAAATAACTTGCAATGATCTGCCTGGCATCTCAACTTCAGCCACTTTCCCAACACTGTGACATAGCTTCCATCTGTCTTTTCTATAAATATATTCATGTCTGTTGTTCTAAGGAGCACTTCTCCTTCATACATTGACTGCATGAATTTAAACATACGACTAGAGTGAAGGATTCATTGGAATATTAAAATAGGAAAACTGTGAAATATTCAGAGTTCTTTCTAGTATTAATCAAAGACTTTTTTTTTAAAAAAAAAAGGACATTTTAAGAGTATATTACAATATATACATGAATTATAAAACAGTCAGAGGAAGTATAAGAAAAAAATTCAGGAAAAAAAAAAATGTACAAAAATTTTTTTTCTATTCCCACTACTTTAGCCATAGTGCACATATTTTATCCTCAATTGGCTCCGACTTCAGTCATTTTCCCATTACTGTGACATGGCTTCCCTCTGTCTTTTCTATATTTATTTTTATAATTGTCCTAATGAGCTTTCCACCTTGATACCTCAACCACACAAATTTAAGTGTGCTATTAGATTGATAACTCTGCCTAATTGTTTTACAGTTAAAATTGCTAGACGTAAAAGTAAGTTTTATGTAAACAGTTTCTTTTACACTTCTCACTTGTGTAACTCTTTTCTGGCTTCTTGCTTCTCTATCAACTTTGATCTTCAAACATTTAAATGCAATGTCAATCATTATCTTCTGTCTTTTTAGTTCATGTTCTTTTATTGTTCTCTTTCTTAATAATGTTTTTTTTTCTCATACTCTTTCACACTTAGCAACTCTCTGCATCTTAGTGGCTTTATTACCTTACTTGAGGTGAAATGGTTAACAAAAACATGCAAATTTTGCGTCTCATTCTGAATAATAAATACTATGTGATAAGACCTAGAATTAAAATTACAGTGTATACAGGGGTGCCAAAAGGTTCTTGGTTGACCAAAATTATTAGAAATTTTGTGAGGAAAGGCTTCTTGGTCAGTTGAGAACTTTTCCACAAACTTGTGTGTGTATTATATATATATATACTAGCTTAAAAGCTGCCCTATTGGGCAGCACTTAAGCTAGCTCCTGATGAGGGTGTATGATTGGGCTTTCATCACAATAAGCAGGGATGAGTAGATGAGTAGGGTTAAAACAAGCAACATGCAGACCCACTTCAGACCACAGTTTTTGAAATTCACTTTGTCAGTGTGCTACCAGGGATGTAAAAGTGGATACATTTATAACGCAATTGTTAAGTTTGATGAAAATTGGTTGAAAGATTCAACAAAAAATAAGAAAGAAACCAGTAAAATTTGCCATTTTTCGCTATTTACATGGTTTTTCACTATATGGGTGGACTCAATTATTAAGTTAAATGATTGTCAAACAATCAATTTATCATTGGTTACAATTGAGTGAAGTTTGTATTAGATTGCTTGAAAACTGAGGGAGTTTTTAGTTTAAAATTTGTGTTGAAATCAAGTTTTTGTTTTTCATGGGTTTTTTTACTAAACACATTTGCATAGAAATAAAATGACATATTATTGAGCTCATCATGATTTAAATAACCTACATACTGAGTTTGAACAAAATCAGAGGAAAAAAAGTTGAATTTTTCAATTTTTGATCGGTTTTATCGATTATTGATTTTTTTTATGCTAAGAACCTATCTCTTACATTGTACAATGTATATGTCAAGTTTGGTCAAAATCAGTTGGATGGATCTCTAGTGAAAAGATATCACACAGACAACCAGACATCCTCTGTTTTATATATATATATATATATATGTTCCCCTCAAATATAAAAATAATCTTACAAAATCACCCTACAACTGAAACCTCAAATATTAGGTTACCAATACTCTACCAACACCCTTGTACGACACACTTGTCCCCTCAGAGCCCCAGAATGAAATATATAGGATTATGGATGATTACGTTATGATTACAAATCAAAATAATATTAAAATATAAAAAACTGTATTAGACAGCTAAACAACTCTGTTTGAGGCACTAGTCACCTTATGGCCCCTGAATGAAGTATATACCAGGGGTCAGCAACTTTTAAAAACGTTTCATTTCTATTAATGTAGTTTACTTATTATTGTATATATTACTATATAAAATATATTGTAGATCAGGTATATTGATCTTGACTAGTATAAAAATACATATGCTGTTGGTACACTGAATGATTTTAAAACCCAAAATTGGCACATAGTCACCAAAATGTTGCTGACCCCTGATCTAAGAGGCCTCTTTCTACCCGCCATCAGCATGGCTGATTCTAACATCCAAGAGACCTTCTTAGACTAATGTTCTTAGTTGATGTGAAGTGGAAAGACTATGTTGAATCCATTTGCTAGGTGAGCTTCTAAAAAAATTGATTCACCGTGTCATGCTACACAATTTTTATCTCCAGAATCTATCTTACACATCTATAAGACTACCATTCGTACATGCTTAGAATATTGCTCCAATCTATGGTCCAGTTCTCCTGCTATTTATCTAAAATCCATTGATAAAACCCCAAAAAGAATCAGCAATATTATCTGTCCTAATCTGGCCTCTCAGCTTCAGTTACTCCCCACTTACCACCGTAAAGTTACTTCCTTGTGCCTTTTCTATAAATACTTTAATCGTAATATTAAAACATTAAAAACTGTATTAGACTAATAGCTAAACAACTGTTTGAGGCACTAGTCACCTCATGGCTCCCAAATGAAGAAAGTACAATTACAAACATTTATGATTATACACAATGTTAAAATATTAAAAATGATTGATTAATTTGTTTTTACAGCTCATTAACTCTTAGCAGATTATTTAAAGTCAGAAAATATTTTTAGATTCTAAGAATTTGATGGGGGGGGAGAAAATAATGGTTTAGTGATACAAGGCTTACTAATTAGTGATAAAACCAAAATACTGCAATAACTCACACCAACAATGCTTATAATTCCAGAGGCAGAAGCATGAAGATCAGTGTTATATTAGAGTAGCCATTTTCCTAGTCAGAAAACTTACCAAAGTTTTGGGTTCCATCATGCACACATACATATTTGTGCATACAGATGTCAAAAGGTTCTTGGTTGAACACACTTTTCAGAATATAACCAAAATTATCATAAATTTTGTGGGGAAGGGCTTCTTGGTCAGATGAGAACTTTTCCACACACTTATGTGTGTGTGTGGGTATATATATATATATATATATATATATATATATATATATATATATAGAGAGAGAGAGAGAGAGAGAGAGAGAGAGAGGGAAAGGTTATAGTTGTTCCAACAAGAGAATAATGTATATTAAAAAAATTTTTAAAAAAAGAGAGAGAGAGAGAATTTGTTTTAGTGTATATATTATTTTTATTCTTCATATTTCTACTACACAGGTTTCTGGTTTCATGATCTTCTTCGGGCAAAAGAATAAATTTTTAAAGGAATAAATTTTCCTTATGTTCTTTTAATGTTTCATTGTTTGTTTTCTGTATTTGTAGTGAGCCTTGATCTCATTTCTTGACTGAAAAAAAGTGAATTTCTGCCTCAGTGGTAATAAAACCATTGGGTTTGGTCTGAGAGGTGGTTATTATATATTATATGGGCACATGGCCAAGTGGTTAAGACATTCACATTCTGACCATGAGACCAAGGTTCGAATCACATCATGGTCGATTTGCCAGAAAGGAAACTTCCTGATATTATCAAACTGGAGGGATCAATTCCAGCCTTCAGCACCTTTGGAAAGTGTCTGAAAATCATACCACAGGTTGACCCAAGCCTTGTGAGTGAAATTGGGTAGAACCCTTGCGGTGGGGGGGGGCGTTGATAGCTATGTTAGCACAAAATCACAAGTCATAAGTCATTGTGACCAAGGGCTTGAGCATTCTGGCCTTGTTCACATTGTTTATCATGCTAGATAACACACTCATTCTCAGAAAATGTGACTACGGTCTGCTCAGCATAATTACAATACAAACCACAGAGCAAGCATCTGCAATAGGGATTGGCTAGCCACCCTAGTAGATGGGTATCCTCAAATAGGAGTGGTCAGCTATTATATTTATTTGTAACTTAGCTGGGAGAAGAAGAGGTAGTTTCGTACCAGTCCCAAGGGTATTTGCATGTAAGTGAGTATAAAAAACCCAATTGGAATTGCTTTTTCCAGCACTTTCTTGCAGCAACTGTGAGTAGTTCTAAACGCTGCAAATGTCCAACTACACTGAACCTTGTGATCAATGTTGAATTAATGGTTAAAGTTAGCTAATCCAATTCAAGGATCAAAGTTACCTTCAGTGGTAGGATATACCTTTTATGTAGCAAATAAAGTAACATACAGATTGATAAAAGTTTAAACACACTCAACACTA